TTGAAATGAATTTGAAATCATTGGTGTGTTTGGTTTGTAGGATTTAAAATGGAATTGGATTTCATTGTTATGAATAATTTATAGAAATAATTATAAAAATAATTGAATTACATTTTTATTAATCAATTATTACAAAACAAATGTTTTTTTTTAACAATTTTAAAACCTTATTGCATACAATTCTATGAAATCCCGTAAAATCCCAAGCATTCTCTAAGAATTTCAAAATCCTATGTTTGAAGGATTTCAATTAAATTCTAGGATTTCAAATCCGGACAATCCAACAAACCAAACATGGAATTGGAATGGATTTGAAATGCAAATCCCCCCAAATCCATTTCATTCTTTCAAACCAAACGAGACCTAAATGTTTTTTTTTTGTTAAATGTATGTTTTCTTTGGTTTGGTGATCTATATCTTATAATGGACTTCCCTTTTTGTTGTAATTTTATTGGGTTTTTCTTTATTTGTTCATTTCTTAATAGTTCTATGAAGAGGTAGACGTTGAATCGTTAAAAAATGAATTTTGTTTGACAAAAAAAAATATTTTTCTTAATGGTTCTAAAACCATCTGAATGATTATGTATCTTGAAACACTCTTAACCATTCAGCGCTCTAATTTCGTTGTAATTATCAAACAATGATATTTCATTTTGCACTATATCATGAGAGATTCTTAATCATTCTGACCACTTGATCGTTCTACACCAAATCGTTCAACAACTGACAAACAACCATTAATAAATGTTGTTGTCTTTGAAAAATAAAAATGTAACGGAAGTATTTGCTTGTTGCACAAATGTTTATAAAGAACAGACATATGAATCTAAATCAAAGTTATTAACCTAAAGTAATTATAACTAATGTTTTTTTTAATAAATAAATAATGCTTAAAAATTTAGTTTAGATAACCCGTCTATATTGCTAAATAAATTATCAATTATTCGAAGGGTACTCGTATAATGTATCAAGACACATCTTGATTTCAATGTTTCGTTTTATTTCTTTTATATGTCGATATAATACGTTTTTATGTGATTTTGAGAAAACGATAATGTTTTTATATTTGAATAAAATATAAATTTGAAAATATCATAAATTTTGAAATATATATATATATATATCGATATCAGTATCAAATTAATTTTTTTAAAAGTTCTTGTGGTTTGGTGTAATTTCCTTAATTCAGTTTTTTTAATTATAATTTAATTTAGGTTTAGTAACAAAGAAATTTAATTTAAATTTAATAATATAATTTTTTTATAAAGATAATAACTAAGTATTTTGTTATAACTCAATGATTATCCTAATTATATTTTAAATTTTTTATATTTAAAATGAAATGTTTATTCAATATTTGATTATATTTATCTGCAGTTAGTTACACGAATTCAAATATAGAGCTTTAATAAGTTGTACTTATGCATAATTTACTTGTAATCTTAAATTTTAAGTAATATGCATCAATAAACAATACTTCGTGCATAAAAAAATGATTTTTAAGAGTTTTTGTCAAATACTTTATAATATAGTATTGATTAATACATTTAAAACATTTCTAACAGATTTTTTTTTATAAATTAGAGAATCAAAACTAAAAATCTCCAAAAAGATTGCATTTAACTCCAACGACTTTTTTACTTTAAGATTTCAACATTAATCATGTTAACAAAAATTAACCGTATGTTTCTCTCTCCTCATTAGATTTTTGAATATTTTTAAATTTTTTACTTTTTTTTTGTTTCTTTATTTATACTCTATTATAAAATATTTGACAAAAATTCTTAAAAACCATCTTTTATACATGAAGTACTGCATATTAATGTATATTACTTAAAATTCAAGATTACAAGTAAATTATGCATAAATACAACTTATTAAGTTTCATATTTGAATTCGTGTAACTAGCCATAGATAAATATAATCAAATACAAGATAAAATTATCAATTTAAATATATTTAAAACATAATTAGGATAATTATTGAGGTAAACAGACTACTTAATTATTATCTTTATTAAAAATATATTATTAAACCAAAAACAAATTACTTCGTCATTAAACCTAAATTAAATTATAATTAAAAAATTGAATTAAAAAATTACACACAAAAAATGAAAACTTTTATATTTTTTTATGACTTTTTATAAAATCTTCAAATTCATATTAAAAAAACATTATTGTTTGTTCAAAACCACATAAATTCATATTATAATATTAACGTTGCATTGTTTAAGTTCCCTTCTAATTTTAAATAATATATTTTAGAGAACTTGTTAAAACAAAATTATCTTCTTAAATATGTTCATTACCTCACAGACACGTTAATATCAACCATATTTTTAATATGGTAATAAACCACAATTATATCCAGAAAATGGTTCAGTTCTTTTAAATAGACAAACAAAGCCATTTATGACATAAAATGTTTCAATATAAAATATAACGAATTTACCATTTTTTTCCTTAACTTCATATCTATATATATTTTCTTGTTTTGATCAAAATAATTTTTTGTAGTTATTTAATCTATACTATATAATAAATCATTTAACAAATAAATCATTTAACAAAAACTCTTAAAAATTATTTTATGTATAAAGTACTGTATATTGATGCATATTACTTAAAATTCAAGATTATAAATAAATTATGCATTACATACAACTTATTAAAGCTATATGTTTGAATTTGTGTAACTAACTATGGATAAACATAATAAAATAGAGGATAAACATCTCATTTTAAAATATAAAAAATCTAAAATATAATTGGAATAGTTATCGATTTCTAACAAAATAATTAGTTATTATTTTTATAAAAAAATTATATTATCAAACCAAATATAAATTACTTCGTTATTGAACTTGAATTAAATTATAATAAAAAAATTAGATTCAAAAATTACACAAAAAAATGAAAATTTTTAAATATTTATCTATACTATATTATAAAGCATTTGATAAAAACTCTTAAAAATCATTTTTTATGCATAAAGTACTGTATATTGATGCATATTACTTAAAATTCAAGATTACAAGTAAATTATGCATTATGTACAACTTATTAAAGCTTCATGTTTGAATTTGTGTAATTAACTACGGATAAACATAATCAAATATATGATAAACATCTCATTTTAAAATATAAAAAATCTAAAATATAATTAGGATAATTATCGAATTCTAACAAAATAATTAATTATTATCTTTATAAAAAAATTATATTATCAAAGCAAATATAAATTACTTCGTTATTGAATATGAATTAAATTATAATAAAAAAATTGAATTAAAAAATTACGCAAAAAATGAGAAATTTTAAATAGTTAATTTGATACTAATATCGATATATTTTTGTCAAAATTTTATGATATACTCAAATTTATATATTATTCAAAAATAAAAACATCACCGCTTTTTCAAAATCACATGAGATCATAATATAACATCGACTAAGATAAATTATAAAATGAAATATCAAAATCATTATGCGAGAACTCTTATAGTAATTAATAAATAAAATTAGTAAACTTCACTAAGGGGCCGTTTACTAAACACTTACTTGGTGTCATAATTTTTCTCATTGGATGAACATGAAAATGGCCAAAAATCTTACCGGGTAAGAGCGATGAGAATGATGAAGAGTCTTACCCGGTAGGTGAGGATGACGACTCTTACCCAGGTAAGCGCTTACCCAACAAATTGTTGCATTCGATATGTTTTGATGTACTAAAATCTTATGCATCAAAATAAATTATAGTGTTAACTCCTATTGGTAAGTGTTTACCGGATAAACATTTGGGTAAACGGCACCTAAGTTTATTTGTGTTTTTATATTTTGTTTGTATTAAAAACATTTTAAATATTTCATAATATCTTAATACTTTAATTAAATTATATGTTAAAACAAATATTATATATGGAAAAGTCATAATATTACTTTAAGTATTCGTATATTTCCTCAAACAAGAAAAACATGAGCAAGGGGAAAAGGTTATAAATTAAAAAAAGAGTAAATTGCAGATATGGTCCCTAAGGTTTACCAAAACTTTAGTTTTTTTTCCATCACTTAAAATTACGAGAAAACATCATCAATGTTTTCATTTTGTTGCAAAATCGGAATGTGGTTGTTAGGGTCGTTAACTACTGTACAGGTTTTTAAAATATATGAACAAATATTAGAAGTTTAAAATAAAAGGAAAACAAAACCACGCCATCTTATATAATTGTGTTTATCTGTGGCCCGTCACTGATCCAAGACCTTCCAAATCCTCAACATCTTTGTCCTCGGTGAACACTTCTTCTCCGGTGTCCCCTCACATTCGTCCTTCACATCCGCCACCAATATCACCACACAATGCATCTTCTCATTCTTCTTACACTTTTACTGGGTGTTGGTTTAGATGATTGTAAATGTTAAAGACTACGATTTTCACTTTTTAGTGGATAAACTTTGTTGGATTTCATGTTTGTGCTTAAATTCTTGACCTGATAAAAGCATTCAAATTCTATTTGGATGTGAAATACAGTCGCCTTGTTGTTGGTTTTACTGGTTATATGCTTAGGTGTAAGTCTAGATGTGGGTTGTCGGAGATGGGGGCCGTGGGAGTTGCATGCTTTGTAAGGAAAGGTGATGAGGAAAGAGACGGGGACAAATCTTGAAGGAAATGGTAGAAGGGGGATGTCTCGAAGACGAGAATGGCAGGACTTGTTGGTGTTGCGTGGAGGGATGAAGATGGTAGGGATATCACGTAGAGTGATGCAGTGGTTAGTAAAAAAAATACTACACTGACGTGTACATTTTACTTTACACACTTGTACATTACATATTAATAAAAAAAAAACCCATATAAAATAATTGAAATACCCGTTACATGACTAACATATGAGGGTACTTAACGATGCCTTCTAACAATCGTAAGGACGAAACTTTGATGACGTTTAGTATAATTGCAAAAAGATAAAGGACGAAAACCAGAGTTTATGTAAACCTCGAGAACAATTTTTGCATTTTACTGTTATAAAAAAGTGTAAATAAATTATAGTAACAAAGGGGGCAAGCAAGCCACATGACCAAAATGTACGTGTCGATACTAGTAACCCGATCATGGTTAAAACAGTGGACCCTCCACTCCAACGCCATTAAAGCCACCTTCACAAACTTTACACCACCACCATAAACTCTGCCGTCGCCTCTCTGCACCGACGGAACAAAACCCTTTTTCTCCTCACAATTTTTCTCAAACTTGTTGATAAGTTGCCGGAGATTCTTGAAGATATCAATTGTTTTTTCCGGAATTGAGTTAAAAGTAGGGTGTCAAACTACCGTTCGGATTTCTGATTAGGAAATGAAGTCGCCGGAGATTTACCAGTCCCAATTTTCAGCTCCCATGGCGAGGAACAACGGAGGAGGACGGCGGTCGTCGTTGTCGATCGCTTCCGATGCTTTCATCTTCTTCTCCGGCGCCGTGGCCGCTCTGTTACTCGTCTGGACTTTTTCTACTTTCTCAAATCCTCAACCTCAGCCAACTCCTAATTTCGAAACACGAATTCCCGATCCCAAATCCTCTGTCATCGATAACGCCGGTTGCGCCGGTAGCTCCAGTGGCTTTAACCTCCAATACGACCCACCCGATCCGACCTTTTACGATGACCCGACTATCGGTTACACCCTCGACAAACCCATCAAAAATTGGGATGAAAAGAGACGAGAATGGCTGAAACAACACCCTTCATTCGAACCGGGTTCCGATGAAAGAATCCTCGTCATCTCCGGGTCACAATCCGGCCCGTGTAGTAACCCGATCGGCGATCATTTGTTATTGAGGTTTTTCAAGAACAAAGTAGACTACTGCCGGAGACACGGGTACGACATCTTGTACAACAACGTTTTACTCCACCCAAAAATGCACACCTACTGGGCCAAAATCCCGTCGGTTCGGGCCGCAATGTTGGCCCACCCGGAAGCCGAGTGGATATGGTGGGTCGACTCAGACGCCGCCTTCACCGACATGGACTTCAAGTTACCGTTAAAACGTTATAAAGATCACAATTTCGTCGTTCACGGCTGGCCCAAGCTGATCTACGAGAAGAAAAGCTGGACGAGCTTAAACGCCGGCGTTTTCTTGATCCGAAACAGTCAATGGGCTCTTGATTTCATGGATGTTTGGTCGGGTATGGGTCCTCAGACTCCGAATTACGAAAAATGGGGCRAAATCTTGAGGGAAACYTGCAAAGACAAGTTTTTCCCCGAATCCGACGATCAAACAGGTCTGGTTTATTTATTATTAAAAGAAAAAGAAAAATGGGGGAATAAAATATACGTGGAAGGTGAGTATTACTTCGAGGGGTATTGGTTGGAAATAGTGGAGACATTGGAGAACATAACGGCGAAATATAACGGCGTTGAGAGAGAGGTGCGCAGGTTAAGGAGACGGCATGGGGAAAAGGTAAGCGATGGCTATTCTGCGCTGTGGGAGGAGTACTTAAAAGACGCTGGTTTCGGGAAGTTTAGTTGGCGGCGGCCGTTTATTACTCATTTTACGGGCTGTCAACCGTGTAGCGGGCAGCATAACCAGATGTATTCTGGGCAGAGTTGTTGGGACGCTATGCAGAAGGTGTTGAATTTTGCTGATAATCAGGTGTTGCGTAATTATGGGTTTGTACATCGCGATCTACTGGATTCGGCCTCTGTCTCACCGTTGCCGTTCAATTATCCAGCATGATTGATAACCCCATTGTAAGTACACTTACTTGCTCTCCAAGTATAATCACGTACTTCGATATGAACCGACCGACCAATTTAATTATTATCATAGTTTCAGATGATCAGATCCAAAATTTTAATATCTAAATTGGAACGGTCTGCATGTTTGAATGACAGTCTAAAATCCGGTAAAACCGACGGATACAATCCAATTACCATTTAATGTATGTACGAGTAAATTACAGATTTGGTCTCTGCGTTTAGAAAGAAATCAAAATAAATACAAGGATGGTGCCCCTGGTATGCATTTCGCATTGAGTCCTTCCCTTTTAATGAAATCAATAAAATTTTGTTAACCCTGTTAAATTTGAGGGCATTTTGGTCTTTTTATCTATTTTTTTGTCTTTATCCTATTAAACAATTATTAATTAACGGCGGATTCCCCTAAACTCACTGAACCAGGGCGTACCGATCTCCACTTCGAGTCATACTAATCGATAGGACCTTATTAGCAAGTGCTATCCTTTTTTCGCCCCCATGTCGCCACACAGAGGGCATGGGGATTCTATCTATCGTTGTAGGATCCCTATTCAAGATTACTGCAATACCTTTTCAGACAAAGAATTACAAAAGCCCTGCCAAAACCCCTGTTCGGCTTCGTACTAGTTTGATGTGAACCATTAGAAGTAATTCATTAAATTGCTATAAAGAAAGGAAGCTACCTAGCCTAACCTCAAATCCTAGCTAAACTATAAAGGCTGGTTTCCCCGATGAAGAAAGGGGTTTGGGAGGATGGGGTGGTGCAGACAATGGGGAAGGGGGGGTTCATCAGAGACAAAGAAGTGGGTGATGGGTCTAGTAACCAGTGTTGGAGATGATGACCGGTACCGGCGTTGGCGCCGGAGCATTGTGGGGGGAGGGGTTAATAGGTGAAGGACAAAAAGAGGGTCACATCCGCGACATATATATATATATATATATATATATATATATA